TGCTGTTTGTGAAAGAGAAAATATATACATTTCCTTTTTCATCCAGTGAATGCCGCTTACAGGCCTTGTGTCTTAAGTCTTTTAAATACACAACAGATTTAAAAACCATGCAAGATAAAAATCTTCGGTTCACACATACACACAGACCCACACACACACAGCCTCCCGCCATCAGTCTGTCCATTCGGCTGGCACTAACTCTAACAGGCTTCAGAGAGATTGCAGGCCTGAGCTGTGGGTGTTGGGGAGAGTAGTAATAGAAAAGCAATGACAGTGGTTTCAGCAGCAGAACCCCTGTTCACTCTCTGGTTTTATCACTGTTCTGAGGAAATATAGGTGTTGTCAAAACTGATATTTTGACCAATGACACAAAATGGATGTGTGTGGTCTAAAATGTAAACAACAGGATGATAGCCTATAGACTGTGGTACACACAAAGAATAAGTGAGGGACAGTTTTGCATTATGCATAGAGATTCTGCTTGTCATTCTTAGGGTGAAACAAACTATCAAGTGTTTTGCTGTAAACACCTTCTTCAATCACTTTCTATTTGCACTGTATCTTTTTAACCTTTTTTTCCCTTTCAAAGACAGTCACTGAGTTGTGGTTGCTTGAAGTAAAACTGCAAAGCCGCCACCAGAAACCTTACTTGGTAAATCAGGTAATCGCAATATGTATAAGAAAAGCAGCTAAGAAGCATGACATCTTCAGAAAATGTGGGCGTAATGATGATGATCGTGATGAAAAGATACTTACATATGTATGGGTCTTGAACAAATCTGATGGGGAACTTGTGCAGACCTTGTCACCCTCCAATCCAATTACCCTTTTACAAATGTTCATATTTGGGTCAAATGGACTTTTTGCAATGACTATATCACCCCTGAAAGGAAACCATAAAACACGATTATTTAATAAGAAAATGCAAAAAATCCCATATGATCTAAGACAACATTTGAAATGACTAGTAGGATATTAGTATTGTTGTGCTTTCTTTTATTTTTAGGGGGAAAAAAAGCAAAGAAATGGTCACAAATCAAGCAGTGAATCACAAATGCACACTGAAATGTTAAAATGTGTGCTATAAATATTCTAAAATGCTTGCTGTCATCTTTTTTTTCCCCGACTGCATAAACTAAGTGCAACCTACTTTTGTATTTTGCAAAGATGCCGACTCATCCGTTCAGAGAAGACAATATCCTCGTTGACAATGGTGGGCTCCATGGATGGACCAGAACACTGAATAAAAGCCAAAAAAAATTCTTTCTTAATTATTTCTTGTAAAAATAAAAAAAGTCATTAAATCTGCAATCTTTTAATACGAACCACGACTAACTCTCCAATGTATTCAAAAGCACAGTGTGCAATGCAGCCATACTGGATTGTGTAGCCCACAAAACCAAAGGTCTTCCCCAGCACACGGCGGAACATCTCAACCTACAGAAGAAAGCAGCCATGGATTATAATGCACTGTCATCGAAGTACATGCTTGATCCATTTATGGTAGGCTTATGTTCTTTATGGGATTTCTAAAAACAAAAGCTGTTTTAGGGTTAATGCTTGAAGGTGTGGACAAGGTTGTCACAGTTGGCCTACTGCTAAGATGGCACATTCTATGGTGTTTCATTCACAGAGGCTGAGCGGCCAGTTCACACCAGAAAACTGCCCTGAACTTTGATCCTGCGTAGGATGGACCAATCAACACCTTGTGCTCAGGTGATGGACAAACACAGAAGCTGTGACACATCCAGCCAAGCAGCTCTGCACTGTCGGCAGCTAGTCCCTGACACTGTGCTGCCTCCATCACCACCACAGTCATTAGAGTAGTTATCAACTTCTGTCAGCACCATAGAAACAAAAAGACACCAAAAGCACCCAAACAACTGCCCTGCAAACACTGCCACATGAACACACACAATGAGCACCCATGTGTCTTCTAAGCAAACATCCCAGGCACACTTAGGTTATTGACTTTTACTCAAGCTGCAACCTGTGGGGTGGTTGGAGAAAAGAGAGGCAGTATTTACACACTGTTGTACAAAGTGCATATGCGAGCCCACACACACACACACAAACACACGCACGCACACACACCCCTGCGTAAACACAAATGCAAACTGAAGAACAATAGATACAGCTTGGTTTTGATGTTAGCCTGCACCTCAAACATTTTCTTTTAGCTCACGCTGCTGTCCTGCCAGTCCACCACAGGGTAAAGAAATCTTCATCTCCATCTCTTCTTTTCCTCCTGTCTCTTTCCCTCTTTCTCTCTCCATGTCTTCTCTCCCTCCCAGGGTATTATTAACCAAAGCAAGCAGAGCGGAAACCAAAGCCCCAAATCCTCAGAGCTCTGGGAATGACTTCCCAAAGATGGACAAGGATTAGACCCCCGATTTCTCCTTTGCCCCCACCACCTCCACTCCCTTTCTCCCCAGGTTCTCAACAGACCGGGTGTCAGGTGGCTCTCCCAGCCCTGCCAAAGGTGTTACCCCTAATCCCATTACCCTCCTCCACTCCTCTCCACTCTCCACTCTCTCACACACACACACACACACACAATGCTCTCTCATTCATTCTAACTATACATCACCTATTATACCCTCTATTCTTTTATCCCTAGCATGGTTTGTCTCTGGTCTATTCACCAACCTTTCTGATCCAAAAAAGAGCAACTCCATCCTTTCACCTCCCTCTGTGCTGCTACTCTGTTTCTTTCCCCGATCACCACTGGCAACCCTCTGCTTTTCACTACTACTTCAAATGACAAAGCTTGAGCAGGTGAAGGGAGACATATACGGTCAGGACAGGGCCCAGATGAAGTGCCCTCTTCCACTTGCAGCTTGCTCCGGTCTTGTTCTGTTCCACAGGAACTATAAACTCAGTCCTCCCCCAGCTGGTACAATAACACCTCTGGCCCCATAATTCCTCTGTTGGGATGCAAATGGTCTAAAGGTTAATGTGAACCTCAGGTCTGCACGAAAGCAACATGTTCATCTATATTCGTCTAGCTCTCAGCTTACTCCACCAGGTTCTCTGCCATTCTGTTACTGTATTGCAGTCTCAGACATGATCTCACATGTGCTCTTCCCTCTGCTAGAACAGGGATCAGGAATCTTTGTTAGCACTTATTCTCAAAGCACAGTGGACAGCCTCCCGTACAGCTGCCCTCATATCTCTGTTTCATCACCCCCCTCCATTCCAGCATGCATTCATCATAGGTAGGGATTAAGGGACTTTGCATAACAAGATCACACGGCCAGTGACTGATATCAAGAGAGTCCATATGCAGCCGGCTGGTTTTCTGAGGCACCCTCTGTCATTGATAGTGTGTGTCTGTGCGTGTGCATGTGGTGTGTTGGTGTGTCAATGTGCACAGACAATAGCATTACCTATGTGTTTCATGGCAAGTGTATATGTTAGCTGCAGAGACTCCACTGGGATTCAGAACAAGGTGGACATCCACAGAGACCTCTGATGTGATCTCTATTAGCTCTAAATCCCCTGGGCAAAGAGTCAGATAACCCACACTATCTCGGTCTTCTAATAACCAGCGCATGTTTATTAGGGGGATATCAACATTAAATGAATGCTGTATTACAGCTGTAAATTCACAAAAAGTCTCACTGTTAATCCAGGATTACATGCCAAACATGTTCATGGGAAAAAAAAAAGCTAGTGTGGCGCTCGCTGCAGAACCATCTGTGGCCATTGGCCTCCCGTTGTCACAGAACAGTGCTACAGTGACGAGAAAGGGGGAGCCCAAATGAGTAGCTTTTGATGGAAACATTTCATTGTGTGTTTAACTCTGTGATCTTACTCCTGAAGAAGCCCTGCTCATTCAGAGCAGAAATCATAAGTAGATGAATTAGGAGGGGGTCAATTCTGCTATACCAAATATGAGCATAAAGTGCTGCAGCAGTGGAAAAGCCTATCAGGACATTTAAACCTCTGTCAAAAACATTATTAGTCCATAATTTGAGAACAGATACATAAAAAAGGGTTCCTGAATATTGCAATGACAACAAGGAGAAAGAAATAAAAGCCAATCAAAAAAAAAAAAAAAGTGTTTCCAATGTTTTCTCTTTAATTTCAGCAAAAGTAATGCTGCTTCAGTACTATCAGCTTACTAATGGATCGACATGAGATGTTTCTTAAAGGTTGTAATTAAGAAACTGAACTACATTATGTATTTGCTTGGAAAAAACATAGGGGGAAAACGCCTCAAAAATGAAGATAATCAGTGAAATGATTCCACTGCAGATTTGTTTCAATTAGAGTCTGCCAATATATGAACAGTAAACAAACAAACAAACAAACAAACAAACAAAAAAAACAACCCCAGAGAAAAACAGCCAAAAGCCAATAAAAGCTTATCACAACTGACACCTAATTAAACTCATATTATTGAAGCCATAAGGAAATATTCAGAAAGGAATTACGGCTACTAGTCTCAAGAGATTTGACCCTGCCATGGCTGAATAGTGTTAATTGATATACATGGCCAGTCTATTAGAGCCACAAAGGGAATTTCAATCCAAACAGCACACAAGGGCCTTGCGGTGGACTTCTTACACAACTAAATTAGGAAAACATGGGCTGAGAGAGAACTGGGCAACAGGGGGGCTAAGAGGCTTACGAGCCCCTTGTCAGATATTCTTCTTCTCCCTAAGGATCCCAGATGGAAGGGAGTCTGGAGAAGCAGGCAGAGCAGAGACGGGATGAATCCTACCTCTGATGTCTTCCTCTGGGCAGCAGAAGGCAGGGGAGGGTGGGGCATAAGTCCTGTTGCGCAGAGCTTGACTTGATCTTAATGTGAGCTATAAAAAGGAGGAGGCTTGGCAACACAGGGGGTCTGTTTCAACTATCAGTGCAATCACAGATAATCCTGCTGATTTAAACACAGACACCTGGCTTGATGGGGAGTGACAGATGTAAAAGTCCCAGTCACTGAGTACCATGTCTGGTCCCCATCTCTCCTAGGTCTGCCTTCTATCAGAAGCTTAATTGAAGGGACTGATCTCCATATTGCTCTTTTCATTGTTGCTAACGGCAACACAGCCGTGACACAGCTGAGCGAGGTTACTATTTGGGGCAGAGGATTTAAACCTGCAATCAATGGGTCAACCAGAGCAAATAATAGCAAAGTGATATGAATACAACTGCTATGAATTGAAAGGAAGTGTAGGTTGACAGAGTCCCTGGCCAATAATATTGAATGGGGAAAAAAAAATCAGTCACTAAGCCTTATTGTGCAGAGCACAAGTGATTGTGTTGTGCTGGCCTTGTGCTGACAGATTTTATCTGGTGTTGTATCACATTCACAAAGCCATTTGGGTTATGCACTGCTCAGCTAATGAAATGGCCTTTTATATTTTAACACTAACTGCTGACAGGAACCTCAACCGTAAAGCAAACCTGCAATTTTTAAAAATGTGATTTCCTTTGACTCAAGTTTCCATACTTTCTACGTCCCTTTTGTATAGGTCAGCTAAATATGACTCAGTGTATTTTAAAACTACATCTGTAGAAAAAATCCCAGGAAACCAAAATAAAGCTATTCAAAATATGGGTTGGTGAATACATGGAAAAAGGCAAATCCTTAGACAAAATTAGTTGTGTACAAGACCTGTCCTATGCTGATTGCACTTGTTCCTTTAGAATAATGCTTTTCTTTCAGTGTTAACAAAACAAATATGTGCATGTTGATGATAATCTTGCATCCTCCCAACACACAAACGGAGCCGCTTCTCGCAGTTCAATGCTGATGGCAGAATTAGACTAAAGAAATCCAAACAGTCAAACCAGGAAAGGTCTGACATGTTATGACTGCTGCCATTATATTGCTCAATCAGATACAGATTAAAATGACAAAAACACCACAGAAAAACACTAGATCACACTTTGAAAGGGGGGAAATTTGTGCTATTTTTCTGCAGTTAGACTGCTTTGTGTACACTATCATACACTGAAGAGTGCAACAGAGCCAAAGGCTTAAACTGAGATTTAAGAGAGTTAAAAAGGAGATGAAAGGAAATGTACAGAGAATGTAGGGAAAGAGATGCATTCATACATCCCGCAAGTTGCACTGCTGAAGCAGGTCCTCCTCCTTTTGAGACCCAGGCCAGTCAGCGCATCTTATTTGCCTCATATAGGCTTACCACAATGCCCAGCGTTGTCAGTCATGATATATTCCCTTGGTCCCCTGTCAGCACACATAAATCTCACAGTGCTGTCAAAACAGCAGGACTGTCTGCTGAGAGCATTTGTAAAGTGAGCAGTTGGGCAATTGTTTCCTCTGGAGCATCACAGCATCCTGCGATCTTATGCTGCCTCTGGCCTCTCTCTGCCACACAAACCTTTTTGCAGATGTCTTAAGGATCACACCATTCACTCACCAGTCAACTTTTCCTAACACTAGCTTTTCCTAACAAAACAGTAGGAGTTCTTCACGAAATAGTTTTTGTCATGAACTGCCAAATTCACATTTTGAATTCTCTGGAAAAGCACAAATGCTCCTGATATTATTCAATCCTAATTTAAATTTCCCACGGCAGTGTGACAGCGAACTAGCATGCAGAATATGAGTACCTTGAAATCAAAGGAACTTACTGCAATTTATCAGCTTTTTATGTTATTATTTATGTATCTGCCAAAAACCCATGTGCATTACACTCTACATAAAAGTGTAAATCTACCCTAAAAACTGACTTCTGCTCACACTAAAGCAGTCAAACTATACTTAATTATTGTAAATTAATCCTACTGGCAACAGAGATGCAAACAGCTACTTGAGCATGTTGAATAAAATTAAAAATAAACTAATTAGGTGCAAGGGTTTTTGGAAGAATAACAGTAATAATATAATTTTTGATAATGCCTTCAATTCCACATAAAGGCTAACACAAATGTCTCCTATTCCATTATTTACCTTCACCTTCAACGGCCACAGTCATAAATACATTTGACATGAGAAACAGATTACAGGTTGGGACAGGGGCATGTGTACTATTATGTTATATCACATTTATCTCAGTTACTGGATATTGTTTTAGGGTTGGGAAACTAAGAAAAACATTTTTCATGCTATTGCTTGATGTAGTTTTTTACTTGCTTCCTGGGGCCTCTTCTTTAATCTGCAAATATTTTCCAGTTGTTGTCTGGTCTTGATTGCACAAAGGCCAGTTTAACACTGGGTCTGTGGAGCTATACTTTTATAATCTATGATTTGATACTACTTGCTGAAAAAAAGCAAGGCCTCCCTTGAAAAGGTTGTTGTCTATGGGGTGGCTGCAGCTCAGGTGGCAGAGCGCTTACTAACCAGGTTTGTGGTTTGATCCCAGTCTGCTCCAGTCTGCATGCCAAATATCCTTGGGCGAGATACTAACACCAAGTTGCTCTCTGAAGCACATGTTGTTGATTGATTTATTGCTAGTTGTCCTTTTGCTTTTTAACACACAACCTTTTATTCTTTTAAAGTCCTTGTGTTAATTTCTGGCATAAAATTAAAACATTAATTGGGCTTGAATACTTTGAAAATCCTTACATCAAGATGGCCATCCTTTAATGCAAAACAGAATAGAAAAACAACAAATCACTACTACAAATATTGTGATGTACTTTTTTACAGCGCAATAGAGAACTGTGCAAGTCTTAAGTCCCATAATTTAATGGGAAAATGGTAAATAGGTACAGTTTGAGCAAACATACTCAAACATACAATATATAGATATATATAATACAATATATAAGCCCCCCCCCCCCCCCCAAAAATAAAATACAGGTGGTATGACCACCTGTATTCTTCAACAAAGACTGAATTCTCTTAGACAAGCTTTCTTTCATTAGTCTCCAGGAATAGTTTTACATCTTCTTAAAAGTTCTTTTTTTGGATGTTGGCTGCCTTTTGTATCATTCTTTGACAGGATGACCCCACACTAATTCAGTAATGTTGAGGTCCAGGCTCTGGGCTGGCCAGTCAATGACTGATATTGCGCGTTTTCTGTGTTCATAATTCCATCAATCTTGAAAAGATCCCCTACAGCACTGGCTGCATGCAGCTTCAAACCACAACAGAGCCTCCGCCGTATATTTTAAAGATACCTGTATATGTTCACCGGTGTACCCTTCTCTTGACCTCTATACATAATGATAATTTGAACTAAAAATTAAAAATTTGGATTCATCATTTGACAATACCTATTGCCACTGATTTTCAGTCCAGTCTTTGTGTAATTTAGCACACCTCCGCTTTTTATCCGTTTCCCTTCATTAGGAATGTCTTCTTGACAGCCACCCTTCCAGTGAGATTATTTTTAAGCAATTTTTTTTAACCATTGCTTATGGACATGACTTTCAGATACAATAAATCTCCTGTAGATATTGAGGAGTGGCTTAATACCGCGACACATTATTGTACATTATCACGAAATATTCATATTATTTAGAATTTCAACGTAATGCATTATCGTTTAGTAATTTGTGTATTAAATTACAAAACGATTTAAATAGTCTCTTTTACAAATATTTTAACACTGTATAGTATAAAGGTAAAACAATTCAGTTTAAGCTGCTTAACATACAAGTATTGTCATTCATTAACGTATTTATAAAACACAATGTTCAGATTTAGTGTAATGAGGGAACGAGGTCATAATCAGGAGACTCGATATACTTTTAGGGACTGAGCGACTTCTGAATAACTCCTGTTATAATAACAACAACAGATAAGCTTAGGTTTTTGTAGAAAAATATAAAAACAAGACACTTAAACTATATAATGAGTGGAGTTGTACTCACTTTGTAGCGTGTGACTAAAAGCTCTCACCGGGCACTTACAATAACAGTTGAACTTCCCTTTTACGACTTCCAGGAGCGGCACTGTAACAACAGCGGAAATCATTGGTTGAGCTTCACCAAACTCCTATTTGATTGGATAACACGTGCCAAAACATCAGCACGCGTCAGCACGTTACTGACAGTATGGCAGCCCCCGTGAATAGTGTGGGTAAACCCTCAGCCGAACGTCCACCGTTCAATAGTACGAGTTTTCAGAAGAAAACAAGGAGCAAGTTAATATCCATACCTGGTACTAGACCTTCGGTTCAAAATGGACAGCTCCTAGTCTCCACCGGTGTCACGTCACTCGACTATTTGCTCGGTCAGTCTATCATTAGGATGCTAGCTACAAAGGCTAGCAGTATTTCTCAATCTAACTTTCGCATGCTGGATTTCACGTTACTGTAACGTACTGTATTCATATTATCAATGCAATGAGAATGAGAAGAAAAGCCATTATATTAAGGACGAGTTATGACGTTTGACATTGCCAGGACAAGACAAATATGCTTTTATTTTAAACGCATAATGCATTTTCTAATTAGTACTACATGGAAAAGCTGTCTGTGAGAAAACAGTGAAAACAACTAGGTAATTTTCACAATAAATGTTGATTATAACAAAATACCCAGAGGGCCTTATTCATTCCCAGTTAAATCCATTTCCCTATTAATTTTTGTGGACATTATATAATCAGTTACATTCTTATTAGTTGTCTTGCACTGTGGTAAGCTAATTCGATAGTGTGGCACCTGCTGAGTTGTTGCTTTTCTTAATTCAGACTAAATCTATTAAGGCCACTTTAGTCTTAGGTTAGGTGTGGGTTAAATGGAGCAAAAAAAGGATATCTGCCATTTTAAGGTCTAACTCTTAATGAAGCTCCTGGCATAACAAAATAGGGCAGGTTTATTATTCAAATAGTCATTTCTGTAAAAAGTACGGTTGCCTGAAAGCATCTAACAGTTGAAAAAAAAGTACTACAATTATATTCACATGTTCATGTTGTCTCTGCCAGCTAAACCTGTGAAAAAATATTTCTCCACAACGTCAAAATACTCTAGTTATGACAGAACCTTTGTGGCAACTGTACTGTCTGTTAATTGTTTACCTGTCTGTCAGTATGTTGCACCTGTCGTTCTAATTTGTCATTTGACAAACGTTTTGTCAGATGAGCAGCTGATGTGGCCATCAAAATAGTTTTTCACAGCAAGTACAGTTCCTGGTTGAACAGACATAGACAAATGTTTTGACGCGTCTTTACTGAACAGTGATTGGCAGTGCTCGTGGAAACATAATCTTGTCACGACTTGGAGCTTGTAGAGAGAGTTGCTGTTGTGCTCACTGGGTTCATGGGTTCGTTTGACATAGTGACAAGTCTAAGTGTCTCTTGTGTAGATCCAAAAGGACAGAGATGTTAGCAGCAGTTGAACAAAGGGAGGGTTCATAGTGATTTGGACATATTGTATATATGAGACTAACATGTAAACAATATTTTGTTTTTTGTTTCCGCAAACAGGTGGTGGATTAGCAGTTGGAACAGTGCTTCTCATAGGTGAGCATGTCACTTTAAATTTCTAAGTATTGACTAGTTTATGGTTTCTGTTAATTGGACCAAAGAGCAAGAGGAGGTCCTTTTTTACCAGCTGCAATAAGACTGTTTAATGTACAGTGATGCCAGTATGATGTTATCTATGTGTTGCATACTTGCTAATTAGTTAGTGGCTGTTATTTATACATGTATTAACTTTATTATGATTAAATATTGGTTTGGTCTTTGAGATATGTGGTAGCAGACATGTGTTGCTACTCTGGCAATAAAGGATCCATCTAGCTAGCTAGCTACCTAGCTCACTATCTAGCTATCCTGTTAATTCAGGTTGAATGGGCTCAATATGAGAAAGCTTGAAATCAGTCTTAAAAGATAATTAAATATTTAGGGGTCCAAGTAACAAATAGTTCTAACCACCAAACAGACACTGTAATTTTTCAGTGTCTTTCTTCTTCCTATTATTATTATTGCTCCAGTGTTTTACTCCACACATCTTCAAAAATGCTAGGGTCTGCTGAGTGACTTGAATTGAATCAATAGAACGTGTTTGTGGGGCTTTGTGTGGATGTCTGCATCCACTGCAGTTTGTTGTGAATGCAAGGATCTGTCCAGCCACAATGCAACAAATATACAAACTTCACATGCTTCCTCCAATCAGACTCCAACTCAGTTAAACATATCCCTGCTGCCCACAGCTGTCAGGAAGTTTAATCCTAAAATTTTGGGTCAAAAGTGAAGCTTTGGCAGCCCTAAAATTGTTTTGATTCCTTTTCTTATAAATTATATTTCTGCCATAAAATTGTTTGTGCAACAAAATAATTTCTTGATACAGTCATATAAAAAAGAATATTTTCTCAGGACTAGTTATGTGAAAAATTAAGTATATACCCCATGATTCAGTAGCTTATAGAACCACTTTTAGCAGCAATAACTTGAAAGAATCATTTTCACATTGTTGTGAGTAAGTTTGGTCTACTTTTCTTTACAATGTTGCTTTAGTTCATTAAGATTTGTGGGTATGTGTTCATGCACTGCTCTCTTACAGCCTTTTAAGGTTCTTTAAAAACAAGCCATACTTGGTCAGTCTTTTTCTAACTGCACTGTCATGAACTTTTAACATTTAACATGCTAACTAAGCCCTCTGGATTCTGAGATGTAGGTCTGGCCTTGGGATGAATTTGCTAGGACTTTCACTGTTTTCCAGTTGAGAGCAATGTTTCTCACTGTGGACTCCAAGCTGTTTGATTTTGCTGCTGTCTTTCCTTCTTAGTATTATTTACAGAAGTGGTCACACTTGCTGACAGACAGTTAAGTGAGTTAAGTTATTCAAGTTCATTTGATTAGCAGCACCCTTTTAATTCCTATGGAAGCAGTAAGAGTGTACTTAGTTTTTCACATGACTGCATAAAGCTATGTGGAAACTTTCATCTTCACCTTACTGTATATTAAGCCTCAATATGTGTGCAAAGGAATTTTAGGTTTTTATATTTATTTTACCAAATTAAATTAAATAATACAACATATTACAAACATACAAAATATAAGAAATAGCTCTAATATATACAAATAGCTCAATTATAAATATCCAGAATATTACAAAGATTAAAGATATAAGATTGACATTCTACTCTAAACTGTAAACTTTAAAAGCTTTGTTATTTTGTTGTTTTCACTGTAGAGGATGTTCAAAAGGGTGTAACTTGTGTACTGTGCATTACATAGAGGAGTTGTACTGGGAGCCACAGGCAGGAATGTCGTTCAGTGGTGCATTTGGGTCATGTCATTCTCTCACTGAACATGCTCCTGTGACTGGTCAGCACATCATGGTCTGGGTGGGAGTGGATGTTTCCCACAATGCTGTTGTCCATCATTGTCCTTATCTTGGACAACATCCATCTCTCCAACACTACTTTAAGGGAGCTCCATCCAGCTCCATCCCTGCATCCCTTCCTGTAGAGTGCAGTGGTGTTTTTAACCCAGTCCAGCTTATTATCAATGTGTACTCCGAGGTTTTTATAGTCCTCCGCAATGTCCAGATCGAACCCCTGGATTGAAACAGGAATCACAGGTTTCCTGGTCCTCCTAAAGTCCACCATCAATTCTTTGGTCTTTGTCACATTGAGCTGCAGATGATGGTGCTCACACCATGTGACAAAGGAGTCCACCAGCCCGGTACTCTGTCTCATCACCCTCAAAGGTGCATTCAACCATTCTAGAGTCATCAGAATACTGAAGATGGCAGGTCTCTGTGTAGTGGCTGAAGTCTGTGGTGTAGAGGGTAAACAGGAAAGGGGAAGGACAGTCCCATGTGATGCCCGGTGTTGCTGATCACCTTTTCAGACACACAATATTGAAGATGCACATATTGTAGTCTTTCTGTCAGGTGCTCAACAATCCAGGACACAAGAGAGGCATCCACCTGCATCACTTTCAGCTTATTGCCCAGTAGGGTCGGCCTTATGATATTGAATCCACTGGAAAATTCGAAAAACATGACTTACAGTGCTCAACAGCTTCAGTCCACCCGTTACAAAGCTTTCTAAGTTCTTGAATCAACTTTTCTTGAAAATCTTCTCAATGGCATTCCTTTTCTTGTCTCTTGTTCATCTTTTCCTGTCACATTTTCCAGTCAAGTTAACATTAATATGCTTTGATACAGCACTTTGAGAACAGCCAGCCTTTTAAGCAGTGACCTTCTTTGTCTTATGGTCCTTGTATGTCGGTAATCATCATGTGGACAACTTTCAAGTCAGCAGTCTTCATCATGATTGCGATTGTTTATACTGAATGACACCAAGATGTATACGATATTTTTGCAGCACGAGTAGTAATTTACCTGAACACAGAGATAAATAATCTAATAATTTCAGGTATTCAAAGAAAAAAAGGTTTTAAAATATTCCACTTTATGTGATTAATATAGAAGACATGAAATTCTGCCTTTTTGAATTCAGTCTGTTGCATAATTAGCTTTTTAGAAACTCTCCGCAGCAGTTTCAATGAAGAGATTTCAAGGCACATAGTTACTTTATCCTCTATATTCCTTTGGGATCAATAAAGTTATTCTTATTCTTTATTCTTATATTCATATATTCATTCGTGTAGAGCCAAAATTAAATGTATTCCTGAAATGAAATCAGCAAGCTACAGCTGACAATATTGTTGGTTGTTCTCTCCATCTTTGTCTTTAACATGTCGCTGTCTAGCAGAATGGCAAATAGACTGATGACCCTTTGGTCTCCAGTTAGAATCCCAGGTGTTCACACTTCTACTGTGATCCTTAATTAATATGCTCATCTGCAGATGTGTTATAGAACTTTTCAGAATTACATTCAAAGCAAGTGGATTTTCTGGGGACATAAATGTCTTCCACTGTATTATTATTGTTATTATTATCATTCATCATAGGCTAGGCTATATGCACTGGTGGACAGTAAGGTTAAGATAGTCATGTTTCCCCTTGAAGCTGTAATTTGTGTGTAGCCAAGGCCTATACCAACTGATGATATTGCTTTGCCCTTTAATTCATCCCCCCAATCGATGCAGGAGTCAGTGATTACACACTAATGCGTTCTTCCCTTCCATTTTGTGAATCAATGTACGGTTGGTTTCATCTGGTAATGAGAGACACAGTAAAGGTGAAATGCGTGTGTGTGCATTCTCTTGTGTTTGTCTCTCAAAGAGTGGTGTGTGTGTGTGTGTGTGTGTGTGTGTGTGTGTGTGTGTGTGTGTGTGTGTGTGTGTGTG